GAGGTGGTTTTACCATATTTAAATTCTTCTTCCCTGACTCATCAGACACTTGGGCCTCTGTGCCAGAGGACAGGATAGGTATGTTGGCTGACTGGAATGATTGTTTCCTTAGTCATCATCAGAGCATTATGTTATTAGAAGGCAGAGGGAGGTCTGAAACTAAATAGAACAATATTAATTGTGAATGTTTTGTTACCTTGAACAAAAGTATAAGACTGAAGTCCAGAGTCAGAGCCTCAGCATAATCTGAGTTCTTAATCCAACATCATGTACCCCGAGGGGGCTTAATGAATCCTTGTTGCTGCCTAGGGCAAATGACATCCAAGCTATGATTAGAAGCCTGGAGGAGCTGGCCTGTGGTTGCTTCCATATTCTCAGCTGTGCCAAAATCCAGACCTAACTTTCTCCTCTTAGTCAAGTGGGAGGCAACCCCAAAGAGAATGTTGGATTCACCTCTAAATTTAACACTCCATTGCCATAGGGTTACTTGGCAGATAAACACAACTCACTTGGCGTCAGAAGCCTGAATGCCCTATAAGAGACAATTCCAAGTGTACTCATGAGCACCAAATTTAAATGGGTCTTTGCCTTTCCTCTTCAAGTAACCACCTGCTCATCAGAAATGGCAGAGGAAGACCTCTGAGTTTTTTGGTCAATCACGATATGGATATCTAATACATTATGTTTAATAAACCCACCTATGAAAGTAGAATATTGGGTGACCTCAGACCCTGACATACAAGACTATAAATAGCAAGAGAGCAAAGACTAGTGTCTCTACTTCCTTTGTATTTTCGATGACACTTCAATAACATAAATTGTTTGTTGATTATCTTTTTTTTTAAAAAAAAGATACAACTATAAGAAACAGGCAGAAATGCCAACTCTTTCAGAATTAGAAAAATTTCTGAAAAAAAAAATAGAAACTTAGGAAGGAATAATGTATTGAGAGAAAAGGTGGCCACATAAAGAAACATGAGCTTGTTTGGAACAGGCAGGCTCCACTCTTTTGAGCAGACTAAGCCTAAGACTTACATGTGGAATAACTCTGCTCCTTTGTTTTATGAGAGTGGAAAATCCCAAACATTTCTAGACAATCCCAGAGACTAACAATTTTACATTTGGCCATAATAAATATGAGAAGGGTTGAAAAATTTTTACAAGCCATTTCCCAGTCCAAGTTTACTTAAAATGATGTGTTAGCAGAGATTTTGCATTCTTCTATTAAAAGTAATCTAGGTACAATTTTCCAGCTCTGGACACCTGTGTATTGCTATGACCCCATAAAGAAGTTAAGCTGACATTTTGATATTTCTTCTGGACTGCACTGAACAATCAATGAAGTAGGTACTATTATCTCCATCTTACAGATGGAGAAACTGAGGCACAGACAGGTTAATCCAGCCAATGTCACAAAACTAGTACATTGAAGAGCTTAGACACAAATCCAGGCAATCTGGCTCTAGAGCTCATGCTCCTGGATAATGAAGTCACTTATTTTATTTGTTCCACACCCCACTTAGGAATGCTTTTGGTGGTATAACCAAAAACACAACTTAGAGTGGCCTTAAAAAAATAGAAACTCATTTTTCTCACGTAGCACCAAGTATGGAAATAAGCAATCACTGGAAGGATTTGATTGTTCACAATGTCCTCAGAGACCAAGGTGCTCTTTATTTTGCTGATCCATCATCTTAGCATCCTCATGCTTATCATCCCATGGTCACTATTCTTGCAGGCATTACCTCCCCATTACAGTGAAGTAAAAGGGGTAAAAGAAAAACTCCTTCTTGAGAGACTTTGTCTTTTCATTTGGGAAACTAAGCTTACTTGAGTAGACGTCCCCTTATCTCTCGCTAGCCAAAACAAGACCACATGCCATCGATCAACCAACTAAAGGCCAAGCAAAATGAATTATTGTGGTTGATTTTGACTAATCATGGTTTCTATTTTGGGACTAAGATAGGGGCTGAATCAATGGGTCTTACCTAGCTCCTGAATAAACTGGACTTCTTTTAGTGGGGAAGATGAGTGGACAGGAGGGAGGATGAGTATAAGGCGACAATAAGCAGTGCTCACCATACTCTTCTACTTTGGAGTTTCGGTTACTCCTCCTTGTTCAATATCTGATACATGAACTATAGGAAAGCACTGTGCTAGGAAACAGAAATAAAGATAAAAGATAATCTCTATATAATTAGCAGTCACTTAAAGTTTTCGTTTGAGAGGATCAATTTCATATTCGATTTTAAATAAAGAGGAGAAAGAATTCACATCATATATGGCTGAGTTGGCAAGTGGCTGTCAAGAGAATCCAAGAGGCCTTACACTGGCTATGAGTACATAGGAAGTAAGAAAGAACATGCCCCAAGGTGCCATCTTTAAACTATAAAATGACAGACATAACAAAGTTGATGTCGGTGCTTAAAAATAGAATAGAGTGTATGTTCAGTATTTTTGAGGCATTAGACACACAGAGTTGTTTTATACCCACACGTAATTATAGTATAACCTGAATGTCTCCAAGTATCACCTGCCACTGGGTATAGATAGAATTAGGCAACATCATGGCCAACTGCCCCTACAAACCCCCTAAACCACCCCTGCTCTGGGTTCTCACATGTGCAAACCTATAAATCTAACCCCTTCGGGCTGCCTCCTGCTCTGACAGCCAACCCAGGACTTCCACAGTGCTACGTATTAGCCGGGAGCAGAGCAGTGGAAGCCGCTCTCTCCTCTCCACCCCTTCCTTGCTTCCACTACTAGAAAGGGGTCTGGAAGCAGTGCTGCTCATAATAACTTCTTTCTGGACCCAGATATGTATCCATGGGGCTGGACTGTGCACAGATTCGAGTGATAGTGACTGTGATAAACTCAGTATCTCTTCTCTTCCTCAAATATTACAGCTTGTTATTGCATCAGATTATCTGGCTCCTTCTTCCCTTAGGACAACTGACTAATCATCTCTGTTCTAGGAAAACTTATTCTTAGGAAATAACCAGACTCATGGCCAAAAATATGTGTAAGGAATCAATTACAGACCTCCTAATAATGGTAAAATAAATAAATCAATCTTAAATTTTATCCATAGTTGACTAGTTAAATTAATTAAAACACATTCATTTTGAAGAATACTATGCATCCATTGAAAACGATGAGGTAGATCTACATTTATTAACAGGGGAAGCTATTCATGATATATTGTTGAAGTAGGAAAAAGTATGATCTCATTTTTTAAAAAATATAAATAAATACATGCTTGCGTGAATGTATGTGCATTAATGTGTGCACACAGTCACACAAAGAAATACAAGTTATCTTTGGGTGGCAAGCTAAGGGTATTTTACTGTCTTTTTTACATCTTTCTGCACAGAGTAAATGTTTTTCAAGAAGCATGAATTGCTTCCATGATCGTAAAAAGATAAAGTCATATCCATTTTGAAAAATAATTATTTTAATAAAATAGGCTTTAGCAACAGATGCATTCATTGGGGTGAAAGTGTGGATGCATATAATATCTCCATTTAGTGAGATTATTTAATAAAAGAAAGGTCTGAACATTAGCTAGAAATTCCTGAGTAATGTGGATGAAAATGAAACTCGACAAAAAGATGATTAAAATTGTACCTCTCCCCCAAAATAATGTGACACTGGCCAGGAGTGTGGTACCCCCAACATTGCTGCTCCTGGAAGCCTCAGAAATTGGTATTTGCACATGGAGCAAAGCAAACACACAAGCTGGTGTTTTTTGTGGTTGCCTCTTTTTAGTTTTGGCTCATTTTTCCAATTGGTTGTTTATCTTTTCAAACTGATCTGTAAAAGCTCAAAGCTTAACAATACTTTGGCATTTATGTTACATATTATTTTTCTATTTGTTTGCCTTTCAGGTATTTTGTGGAATTTTATATCTTACAGAAGTTCGCATCATTTGTGTAATCGACTGTAACAACCCTTCCTTTTATGATTCTTGGTTTTGGTATCATCGTAGAAACTCCTTTTCTAAAACCAAAGACACCAAAATTTTGTTTAACCTATAAATTTTCATCTTTCACAATTAAGTATAAAATTAATCAAAAGTTATTTTTGTATGTGGCGTGTATGAGATAGTGATATAGTTTGCCTTTCCCCAATAATTAGAAATAAAATCTTTATCATATACCAACACAAAACAAGTGCACAAGGGTGGACATATACATGTCCTTGGGTCTGTTCTGGACTTCTATTCTTCCGTGCCATCATCTGCATGCCTATTCCTGAACTACTACTATACAATTACGAGTATTATAGCTTTAAGACATGTTTCATTTTCTGATAAGACGAAATCTCCTTCATTACCCTTCTTTTTCAAAACGTGTATTGGATTCTCGTAAGTGATCATTCTTCTGAGTAATTTAGAATTCTTTTGTCCAATTCCAAATAAAACTCCATTAAGATTTTTACCAGAATCACATTAAATTTGTAGATTAATATATAGAAAAGCATTTAATATTTGCGACGGGAAGCCTTCTTTTCAGTCTCCCATTTAAATTTTATAAATTTGTTCACGCTGTTCCTGGATATTTCCTGATATTTATAAAAAGTTGATTTTCTTTGTCCTCTCATCCCCCCACCTACTTCCCAAGTCTCCTTACACGGTACCGTTGGAATCTCCTTATCAGATTTACAGTTGTAGGACAGGTTTGCTATCTACAGCTCACAGGCAAAGTTCCACTTCCCACAGACTTCATTTCTGTCTCCCTGAGGTGGCACCTTCCTCTGACCTTCACTATCTGGTTTCTGCTTCCACAACCTATTTAGTCACTCTAATTCCCAGCATGCTACGCCCAGGGTTCTTATTTAGTTCCCACACAATGCTTACTTCATAGAGACTGTAACTAACATCATCTCTCTGTATTACTTTTCTTTTGTTGCGCAACCGTTGACCACAAACTCAGCAGCTTAAAAGAACACACATTTGTGATCTCACGGTTTCTGTGGTCAGGAGTCTGGGTGCAACCTACCTGGGTCTTTTGCTCAGGGTCTCACAAGGCTGCCATCAGGGCGTCAGTGGGCTGTATTTCATTTTGGATTCAGGTCTTCTTCCAAACTCACAAGGTTGTTGGCAGAATTTAGTTCCTTGTAGCTGTAGGACTGAGGGTCCCACTTTCTTGCTGACTGTCACCTGGGTGCTGCTCCACAGTTCCTTGCATGTGGCCCCCTTTCAGGCCTTCTTACAACATGGCGGTTTCCTTCTTCAAGGCCAGAAGGAGACTCTCTTTCTCTGTAATATAATCACAGGGGTGACATTCATCACTTTTGCCACTCTCTGTCAGCTAGAAGCCAGTCACAGGTACTACCTGCACTGAAGGGAAGAGATTATTCAAGGGCCTGACTCTTTGGGGCCACTACAATGTATGTCTGCCATACTCACAGGTCTTGGACCACTGCCAGCACCCCACTACTTCCCAGTCACTTCTTTTCTGAGATTTGGGGGCCTGGCCTAATTATAACAAGATGGAAGACTGAGTGGAGATAAGAGGCAGAGGGACAGGTGGCGGTGGGAGGAAGGAGAGGGAGAAACAGAAAGAAAGACACTCTGCCCCGCTTATAGCCCTGTACATTTTTCTGCTTGATGCAGGCTCCAGGTCTCCAAATCATGAAGGCGAAGATGAGGTATGATGTAAGCTGTAAGCTACACTGGTTATTCTTGGTCCTCTCCATCTGCCTTGTAGTTGTTGCCAGTTCCCTCATAATTCTCAAATTAGGTGGTTAGTTACTTTTCAGTGTTGTTGTAAGTTTTATCTTTTTTTTTTTTTTGTCTTTGTATATGTTAGTAAAAAGTTGGAAAACTGCTAGCTTTGTGATGCTTTGAACCAGAAATCTCAGCCAAGATAGTTTTAGCAGGCTTCTACTTCTGTCTTCTTGAGATGCAACTACTGCCTGGTTTCTAGTTCTTTTGAAGCAAGAGCAAGGTTGAATGCGATACATTTGATAGGAAACTTCTTGGTTCCATTGTGAAACCTCAAGGAAACTAAAGAAATAGCTAGTCTGTGTGAGAAGCAAATCTGTGTCTCTGCGTTTCATCCTCACAACCTAGTGAAATAGATATTATTAAACCACTTTACGGATGAGAAAAATGGAGGCTCCGACTAGACAAATAACCTCCCAAGGTCACACAATCAAGAAGTGACAGAGCTTGGATTCAAATCACAGAGCCTGACTACAAAGCTCTTTTTATCATGTCATGCTCTCAGGGTGTGTAAACATCTCCTAAAATATTTAGAGGCATTTAGTAAAAGACAACACGTATTTTCCAGCCTATAATTTCACAACTCTAATGTAGTAATAAACTACAACTTTCTGCAGTTGGGAGGGGTTTTTTTCATGAGGAAAATGGACAACATTCTCATTTCTATGATTATATCATACCACCTTTGCCCCATGAATTTTAAAATCTTAAAAGTTAATCTTTGAGAGATCTGATAGTCATACAGAGCATCTCTCAAACATGGGCATTCTGCCACAATTTGTCTTTCATCTTCCTGAAGCAAGGCCACACTAAACAGGAACATAAGCAAGTCACAGGTGGACTCCCTCCCTGGCTCCTGTCAGGAAAGTCTGAACAGGGCAGTGCAGCTGGATGGCAAAAAAACACGGATGCTGGAGTCAGAGTGCCTGGGTTCGAATCCTGTGGCGGTGTGTCTGCCAGCTGCCTCAGTAGGAAGGTTGTATTTGGGACTGCGAAAACACACGTTAGCTCTAAGTTCTTAAATAGCAAATGAGAAACAAACCAGGACACCATTCGGCATGCCCCCAGGTGGAGATAGACTGCCCAGGTCTCCACAACAATGAATAGCTACACCTTGCCTGAGCTACATGCCTGCCTGCTGACTAGGTGTAAGTAATTACTGAAACCAACCCCAGCACATTCCTAAGTGTTTATAGATCATCAAAGGTCAATTTCTCAGTCATGTAGCCTCACTAGGCCCCAGATTTAGGCCCACCATTCCTACAGCAACCTTGAGCAAGTCACAAAATCTTGCCAATTATCCATTTCCTCTAGTACAGTAGTTCTCAAATATGGTCCCCTGACCAGCAGCATTGATGTCGGTCTGGGAACTTCTTAGAAATGCAAATTCTTCGGCTCCACACCCAGATCTACTGAATCAGAAACTTTGGGGATGAATCCCAGCTATCTGTTTCACCAAGCCCTCCTGGTAATTCTGATGCACACTAATGTGAGAACTACCGGCCTCAATACCTTCTAGAGTTGTGAGAATTAAATAACATAACACATTCTTTTCTGCTACCATGTGTGTTTCTGTAGCACGAATTACCCCACCAGTGACTGATGATAGAGAAAGGATGTCGGTATGATATGAAAATTGTACGTTATGCTGCACATAATTGCACATTAAAATTGCACATTGCAATGTAAAAATTGCTCATTAATTTTCACCATATCATAGGTGGGTTTTCCTAAGGAAGAGGAGCTGAAATAGCAGGAGTGAGACCATAGCCTTCAATGGAAAAGAAAAAGGCCTGAGGCTCGGCTGCTGC